AGGCCTGTGCAGAAAAGTGGCTGTCGTGGCGGTGCTTAGTGTCGAAGGACGGGCTATAGCCTGTGGGTAGGATATTGGCATAGGACCCTGCGCAGCCACTAAGAGTGGTCCCGACGTGTGTTCACTTTACTTACATTTATCGTATTTGTGGAAGTGACTCACTGTTAATGGAACTAAGTGGAAAACAAAGCAGCATTGCAGTTTGCATTTAAGTTGTCTAAATCGTTATCTATTTTCTCATTTTAAAAACTGTATCAGTGGGACTAGCAGTTGGCGTAATGGCTATGTCACTGGACTCCCATGTAGTTGACTGCAGTTCGAGTCCCGGACCTGGTGACTTAAACTTACGCTGGGCACGTGTGTGTGCATGCCCAAGATCCTGGGAGGAGAATGGAGAAGGAACTGCAGCATGGTCATATCTCCTGGGGGTGATTTCTCGCTTTCTATCTCTTTGTCTCTCTTTCTTGGGAGTGCACGTTCCCTATAGCAAAAACTTCTCAAAATAAAACAAAACAGAACAAAAACTGTATCAGTGATTTAATTAGGTTATTGGTGAGAAACTGAGAACACCCAATTTGTAAGGGGCAACACAGATTGCAGGTGGCCCTGGAGCTGAGGTACAACTCTGATTTTTTGGTGACATTTGCAAGTCCACGGCTTCCTAGCGAGCCTCGTACTGCATAGTGACCTCATTTCTTAGTGTCGAGGTGCTCCCCTTCATGGTGTCTGGGCTTCCGCAGCGGCTGCTGAGTGTCAGTGAGTTATCTGGGATTTTACCACGGCTGACGCCAAGTTTTGTGGAGACGGTGATGATAAATTCTGGAGTGTTCTACTCGGGGCCCAGCTGAGGACCAGAGGTCAGATTGCAGTAGCAAGCCCTGCTCAGCTGCTTCAGAAAAGGTGCCCTCTGTCTCTGGGGTGCCCAGTGAGGGTGGGCAGAGTGAGCCCACTAGCCAGTTGGAGGGTCTTGGCTGAAGGAGCCGCTTCTGGGCCAGCCATTCACACGCCTGGTGTTGGCCAGGAGTGTCGGTCTCCTGCCCGCCCCTTGTGTGCCTACTCAGGCTCACCGGGGGCCCTGGCGGTAACGCGCTGACTGTGACACTGTGCCTTGCTACGCGTTTGTGTTCTGGATTATCTGAGAGCTGAGCATTGAGTTACTCAGTGTGCGGGCATTAAAGTTTTGTTTTATTTTAAAAACCTATCATACACCTTCATTGCTTGAACTTTGTATGAAGTGTACATGTTTATGTTTTAGTTTTGGACTTCGAGGTTGTTTCTGTTTTATTGGGTACAACATTCTGAGAGCCATCCATTTATATTCCTTAGGATAAATTGCAGGAAGAAACTAAATTGCTTGTTCAAAGTACATCCCTCTTGATTTCTCACTTTACCTCTTACTGTCTCTGTCTCTGTCTCTCTCTCTCTGGTGAGTACACATGCCCTAAGACAAAAATCTCTTTTTTAAAAAAATTTGTTGGGACCAGCAGTTGGCATAATGGCTATGTCGCTGGACTCCCATATAGTAGGCCACTGTTCAAGTCCCAGACCCAGTGGCTTAAACTCACACCGAGTGCGTGTGCGTGCATGCCCAAGATCCTGAGAGGAGAATGGAGGAGAAGGGATTGCAGTGTGGCCATTCCCCCTGGGGGGCGATTTCTCACTTTCTGTCTCTCTATCTGTCTGGCAAGCTCACGCGCCCTATAGCAAAAACCTCTCCAAAAAAAGTTTTTAAATTTAATTTTATTTATTATTTATGTTTTTTCATTTGGCCAAAGAGAATGAGAAAGCAAGACTGGTCTGGGAATCGAACCACAGTCCGCCATGTGGGAGTCCATTGCCTTAACCACTACACCACCTGCCAGTCCCCATAGAGGTTCTTTCATTTAGGCCTACCATAAAAGAAAAGCCTCAAATTGTTTATGTGTTGTTCATAAATACTTTTATTTAACTTTACTTATTTAAAGGGAAGCATTTTACTCAATTGAATATTCTTAGAACGACATAAAACTATGAACACTATGTTACACATGAGAGTCAGAAAGCGCTGTGAAACTGAACCTCCCATTTACATTGGAAATTGAAGTAAACTGCTAATATAAAACGACCTAAATAGATGTCACAGAATCTTACTAAAAAGGTCAAGGTATTAATAAACATTCTAAACATCTTATAAATGGTTAGCTTTTAATTTGACCATTTGGTTTTATGGAAATTGTGTTTTATTAATGTATGTTGGAATGCCTCTCAATGTTCTTATCATGAAATTTTTATTCTGATGTTCAGTAAAATCTAATGTAAACTCTCTGTGCCTTACTGTTTGAAAAAGACACTTCACTTTTTACCACTACATTTATTTAGTGAATAGAGTTTCCCCACCCCACTCCCATTCTCCTGGGGGGGGGTGTTTTCTCTTCCTGTCTCTATCTCTCTCTGTCACTCTGGCGAATGCACATGCCCTATAGCAAAAATCTCTCTCTCTCAAAAAAGTAAATAAATAAAAATAAAAACTTTGTAAATGGTATTAGTGAGGTTGGCCATACCATAAAACGTTTCTGAGATGAGGAGACACCGAAGGGTGCTCTCGCGTGCAGTTCTGTCCACGGTGCTGAACAGGTCGGTGTCATAGGTGTGGGTTGGAGAGGTGCTAAAAGCAATGGACTGCCTCTCTCCAGAAGCACTTTAATCGGGTGCTCATGAAAATGCTAGACGTCCCTGACTTTCAAGACCTGGAGAATTTAAAAGAAAAGATGTTCACAAGCATGAGTATATCATAAATCAAAACCAGAGGCCTGGTGATAATTGAAAGGCAGTTTAGTCCTTTATTAAAATCTCAAATTTTCCTTTTCCTTATTATCACTGCCCTTTTCCTTCTAGCCACTTGGTCGTGAACTTATTCTTGGTTATATTGAGCTTGTGTGCTTACTGCTCCATTAGTTTTTTTTAATTCTAAAAATGTCAGAAAATGTTATGTATACATGTAATAATTCAGTGGAAGATGAGAATTTAAATAAAATGTTCAGTCTGCCTACCCTTCAACTCTGACTTTCCCTCCTCCTGGCCGTTAATTGTTCTATTCAGACCCTACTTCCAGGTTTTGAAGAGCTCCCAGTGCTGTTTCCTCACAGTGATCATGCAGAGGTGCACATTTCACTTTTTTCCGTCTATCGCCAGAGGGCACGCGCACTTACCAGAGAAGGAGAACGCACCCACAGTGGGGCGTGGTCAGGTCCCAGTCTCTTCTCCATTCTCCATCGAGTTGGGATTTTGTACACGTCCTCCTACCATGTTTCTTTGTCTTTTAAAAAAAAATAGTTATTTATTTAATTTTATTTATTCATTTTCTTTTCGTTTGAGCAGACACACACACACACACACACACACACACACACACACAGAGAGAGAGAGAGAGAAAGAGAGAGAGAGAAAACAAGTCACCAGGTCCAGGACTAGAGCGCTGGTTGACCATGTGGGAGTGTCCAGCGCCTTAACCACCATGCCACCTGCTGGCCCCCCTACCATGTTTCTTAAGGCACTGGGGCTGGGATTCAAACAGTTAGCCAGGCAGGATCTGACTCCCTTCACTAGGCTAGTAGGCCAGGTCAGATGATTGACCATGTTGTCAGTAACATTTCGGTCCAGCAGGAAGGTATGAGTTAAATTTCGAGTTGTCAGAAGTTACACAGAAGAATGCAACTGTGCTGGGCTAGGGGTTGGTACCCAGAACGCAGTGGCCAAGGGTCAACTGTAACTACAGAGTGTAGAGTTGCTAATGGGCTTAGCAGGAAGCCCACCACCAAAGTTAGGATTAAAAGTGGTGTTTCGTGACAAAACCAATAATCGATGACATTCTTTTGTCTGACGTTTAGCTCAGTTCATTTATAGATAACGACAAGTACGTCAAGCAGCCCTCGTTCTCCCTGGGAAGACAAAGTTGGTTCTGTTCCTTGCAAACTAATGAGTCCCTTGGTATTCTGAGCCAGCCATGAGCCTAACAACCTAGCTCCCAGTTAGGGACGGACGGTGTTTTAAAACCCGCTGATGACATCTTGATGGACAGTAATACAATGTGGCTTAAAGGGAAAAGTCGAGGTGATGTGTTGCTTTAATATGAGAATTGAGTCCCGTGAACTCCAGCACTCAGAAATTTGACCCAAATCAAATCTGCCTTCCTTTATATCCAGGAGAGTCCGCTCACCTGGTGCGTGCAGCCGTGCGCACATGTGTGCTGTCTAAGTGTCACGTTGATGCAGGGACGCGGGTGTGCCGGGTGGTCAGGCCCAGCGCCCACAGCGGGACACACGTTCTTGTCTGCCTCACGAAGAATTAGAGACACAGACATGAGGCAGCAGTGGTTTCCGGGGGAGGAAAAGAACTCCCATGCAGGGAACAGATCCTGGAACATGGGTTGCCCAGAAAGAGCGGAGGCCAGGGGTTTCTGTCTGGATCGGGGGCTGTGTTCAGGCTTCTTGTGCCTACGTTTCCCTCGTGATGGGGTTGTGGTCCTCAGGATATGCGTACCCCACGGTGCTCTCATCCTTATGAGCCCCTACATCATGGTGGCTAATTGGAAACTAGTTTGTTCAGAGGCTGTTAATTTGGAAAAGGTCATTATCCCAGTTACTTTTTTTTTTTTTTGGAGAGATTTTTGCTATTGGGCGCGTGCGCTCGCCAGACAGACAGAGAGAGACAGAGAGACAGAAAGCAGGAAATCACCCCCCAGGGGGGATGGCCACGCCGCAATCCCTTCTCCTCCACTCTCCTCTTGGGATCTTGGGCACGCACGCACACGTGCCCAGCGTGAGTTCAAGCCACCGGGTCCAGGACTTGAACCACAGTCGACTACGTGGGAGTCCAGCGACATAGCCATTATGCTAACTGCTGGTCCCGATTATCCCAGTTACTTTTGAGGCCCGGGTGATCCCTATCTTGGAATTCAGCCCCTAGTCTGGCAGGCCCCACCCGCGGGGGTGCCTTTCCCGTGCCTTTCATGGTGTACTCCCATGACCCGCCTGTTCTGGACTGTGTCTCTGACCTTCCGGTCTTCATCAAGTAAGTCCCATTGCAAGGGGCCATCGATTCTTTAAGAACAAGATTTACTTGTCTTAAGGGCAAAGGAACATGGTGGCTGGAAGAGGAGAAGAATTAGGGTCAAACAAAGAAAGGGGGGATTTAACATCGGGGACTCACGGCAGTGGCTGTCTTCTGGGGTGGAGTCTCCCTCCTGTCTCAGAACCACCTGTTCGGTAAGGCAGATGGCTTGCTTCCCCATCCTGGTGAAGGCATGGACAGCAGCAGCCGCACTGCTTCTCCTTCACACCAGGCGGTTGCAGGGTGGTCTCTCGTTGCTGTTTAAGAAGTGTGTCAAGTCTCGGGCCCGCCGTGGTGGTGTACTGGTCTTTCTGGGGTTCAGATCCCAAGTTGACCTGAAACACACCTGGTGTGCTTATGCCGGAGGTCCTGACTAGCTGGAGGGCTGGGGGGAGGGATCTGGGAGACCCTGTTACGAGTTCTTTTCTCGTGCTCTCTCTTGCACAAAAGAAATAAAGTAAAATAAAATAAAAAAAAAAGTCAGATTTATGTGGGGAAAACCTTTTGCTGTGTGATAGGTGCCTTCACGATGGGGGAAGGTTTGTGAGAAGTGGAGACAGTATTTTGACAATCACGGCTGCAAAGTCTTTGCGTGTTCCCCATGAAGAATGGATGTGGACACTGTTGTCCCCCCTTTGACTACTGTGCACATATTACCAGGCACAAAGACTCGCTCGAAAGCTCAGAGTCTGGTTGACTTCTCAGGTGTGTTGGATCAAAGTGGTATTTAGGTTCGTGACCAGTTTTCAGAATCTGCTTCTGTCAGAAGGTGATTAAATATGTATTAATAGTAGTTACCTGATCTCATTATAAACGTATTGAGTTGTGGGAAAAGTCATGATGCATTTCCTATGTTTTTCTGTGTAAACATGCATCGTGACTTTTTCTGATAACCTAATAAGTTAGGATTCTCTATGTTGGTTATTTTTTTATTATTATTTTTGAGAAGGTTTTGCTGTAGGGTGCATGCACTCACCAGAAAGACAGAGATAGAGAGACAGAAAGCGAGAAATCATCCCCCCAGGGGATGGCCATGGCTCAATCCCTCCTCCTCTATTCTCCTCTTGGGATCTTGGGCATGCACACACACACGCCCAGGGTGAGTTTAAGCCACCAGATCTGGGACTCGAACCATGGTCGACTACATGGGAGTCCAGCGACGTAGCCATTACGCCAACTGCTGGTATGTTCCTTATATAAAAATTAAAAAAATAAAATTACCTAACAGTCTCAGATTCCTCTTAAACTAAGCAACATCGGACCTCATCTTCCTTTATTGTGATTAGAAGCAGTTCCTTTTGCTCTGAGGAACCTAGTTTCAGGTAGGGCTTTTCATAAACATTTATTTTTGTTATTTAATGAGTATTTTTTTTGGGGGGAGAGGTTTTTTTGCTATAGGGCGCGTGCGCTCGCCAGACAGACAGAGAGAGACAAAAAGACAGAAAACGAGAAATCACCCCCCAGGGGGGATGGTCTCCCCGCAGTCCCTTCTCCTCCATTCTCCTCTTGGGATCTTGGGCATGCACACACACGCCCGGGGTGAGTTTTAAGCCACCGGGTCCGGGACGTGAACTGCGGTTGGCTACGTGGGAGTCCAGTGACATAGCCATTACGCTAACTGCTGGTTCCCTTTAATGAGTATTTTTTAGTGTAATTAAAATGTAATAATACAGTTTTGTTTTCGTTGTGGTTATTTTGAGGAGTGCCTTTTATTTGTGACCAGCGATGCTGTTTTCTTTTGGGTTTTGTTGTTTTGCTATAGGGCAGGTAGAGGGAAAGTGAAAAATGACCCCCAGGGGAATGGCCACACCTCAATCCCTTTTCCCTCATTCTCCTCTCAGGATTTTGAGCGCACACACGGGCATGCATGCACGTGCTCAAACACACGGCTGGCGTGATTTTCAAGCCACACTCCAGAACTGAACCAAGGCTCAGTTCACATGGGAGTCCAGCACCACCTTCACCACCACCCCTGCCCTGCCGGCCCCACACCTCCGTCGTCAGTGATACCAGGTTTCCCTCACATTCCAGGTGACAAGAGGGCTGTGGCATCTTTACAGCGGAACCTGCTACCTGTGAGCACTTGGTCCGCTGGCCGCTTGGTTTGGGTCTACAGGGTTTTCTTCTGTAAATTCGTTTTTCTCTTGGCAGTTGGTAAATTGTGGGAGATAACTTTGAGACCAGGAAAATCTTTTGCCTACTAACTTCAGCATGCATCCGTAGGTCTCATGCTGGTACGGTTTTTATTACTGTGAGGTTTGGTGGTTCTCATTTATTAACTGATTTTTTTTTAAAGAATTATTTTATTTAACTATTTATTTATTTATTTTAATTTTACCAGAGAGGGACAGAGCGAGCAAGAGAGAGAGAGAGAGAGAGAGAAAACTGCCAGGTCCTGGACTCGAACCGTGGTCGACCGTGTGGGAGTCCAGCGTCCCTAGCTACCATGCCACCTGCCAGCCCCTATTAACTGAACTCTGTGAGGAAGAGATTCCTGGCCCTCCCCAGTTGCTTATTATTGAGTTACTTGTACAAGCAGGGGTATTAAGACAGCACATCCGTGTCCCTAAGGGCTAACGTCAGCTGCCACTCTCATGGTACCGCTAATATGAGCGTGAGAGCTTCGGCCAACGCCAGACTGAGGGGTGGTTGCAGACTGAGGTGAGTAAGCAGTGGCCTAGGTGCAGCGAGGGGTCCCAGGTGGGGTTCTAGAACAGATGTGGTCAGTACTGGGAGTCCAGCACCACCTCACACGAGTCCCTGAAAGAGCTGCAGGCCAGGGTGGTGCTGTGCTCACGTCACTTCCTGCCGATGAGTGCTGGTAGCATGCAAAGGAACAGATACCATTTTTGTACTTTTCGCTCTCTAAAACTGACTCAAAGTGAAAAGTTTAGAATGGCTATTTAAAGATTATTATTAAGCAGGGCCAGCAGGTGGCAGAGTGGTGAAGGAACTAGACTCCCACATGGCTGACCATGGTTCAAGTCCCAGATCTGATGGCTTGCTTTCTTACTTTCTCTCTCTGGTGAGTAATAATAATAATTACATAAAACTTAGAATTTTTAAAGAATATTTTTAAGCAAATAATATTTTTAACTAATTAGGTTTAAAAAAATGTAGTCAGCCGTTAATATCTGAGGTTTTGTACCTGTAGATTCAACCAACTTTGGATTGAAGATATTTGGGGGAGAAATTGGTTGAATTTTTACCAAACACCCGCAGACCTTCTTCTTGTTAGTACTCTCTAAACAATGCAGTGCAGCAGCTGTTGACTTAGCCCTTCATCGCGAACCGAGTCTGCCCGTCTTAAGTGCCACAAGCGACCTGCAGGGAGGTGCGTTACAGAGCAGTGCGCATCTCCACGCTCAAAGCATGCCGACTCAGGAAGGCGCTGTGCCCCGAGAAGCTCATGCCTGCATTTTTAAGGGCAGACTTAGAGACACCTCCCCGGGCACATGGTCAGCTCAGCGATCGATTAAGAGGGCATGATCATGTCCTGGGCTTTCTTGATTGGTGGATTCCTAGGTAGTCAATTTCTGTTCTAGGAGGGTGATCATCAGGGGTCTGGTATCATCTAGACTGGGTTCTGTGAACTCATAGCCCGCCAGTCTCCATCCTGCAAAACACGTACAAATTTAAGTCACTACTTTGGCTTCAAGTGGGAATCTTTTCTTTGTTTTTTTTTTTTTGTTTTTTTTTTTATTTTAAATTTATTCATTCTGTACATTAATTCACTATACACCATCACAACACACAAATGAATTTTCCATCCAAAATACACTGTGCATTGGCTCAATCAAGCACATCAACATATATGTTCTCAGCAAATAATTTTCTAATTCTTATGTCCTGCATACCTTGCCTTTTGTTTTGCCAACCCTGATTCCCCATCCCTCACCCTCTGCCATGTCCCATCCTCCTCCCACATTGTCCCTGGAATCCACGGTTGCCCTCCATGCCTCCCCTCCCCCCATTCAATTGATCTGCCAATGAACTTAATTAGTCTAAATATATCCAATAGCTAGCACAGCTGACACATACCTATACATGAACCCAAGTCTGACTTTAGGCATAAACCAGGTGGGAATCTTGAAGCCTGACTTATGGCCCTTGTTACACAGTTGTCCTAACTGAAGCCTGGTGTCTAGTCCTCTTGAGTCTTCAGTGGACATAGGCCTCATACGGGCAGCTAGAGATGCTTCACTTTTATTTAGTTCAGCTCTTATTGATTTCCAGCTTGAGCAGTTTTTTTTTTTTTTAACAGAAGGTGAACAGAAGTTCTTTTAGAAGGCCCCTGCTAAATCTCAGTCCTATTAGCTATTGTAAGTAATGGAGAGGTTTGAGATGTTTAGGAGAATGTACATAGGGTATGTGCAGTTACGCCACCATTTGTTTTATTGATTTGATTTACATTTACTTACTATGTAGCTTCTTAGTGTAGGACATTGCTTTCTCCAGCATGAATACAGAGAACCTGGTTTTTCGCTGAAATCTCTACTGAGGTGATGGAAGCTTACCTGCAGCTGTCAGAAATAACAGTGACATCCTGATTTCCATTGCCCGGTTCCCCAGAGGCGCCGGTTCCTAAGCGGGACTGACGTCACAGCCAGGCATCCGTACAGTGTAGTGTGCCGGTCTTACCCAGAGCTGAAAAACTGGAGTTCGTTCTTGGAAAACTACTCAGATACTCAACTCTAACTAGATCTGTGGCCTCAAGAAAGTCATTTAACCTTTCTTACGTCACATGTCTCACTGATTAAGTCAGATAGTTTGATTCAGTGATTTTCAGAATCACTTTTAGGTCAAAACATTCCATAATTTTTGTATAAGAGTGTTTTAAGGGACCAGCAGTTGGTGTAATGGCTATGTTGCTGGACTCCCATGAAGTCAGCCGTGGTTCGAGTCCCAGACCCGGTGGCTTAAACTCATATCGGGCACGTGGGCGTGCATGCCCAAGATCCTGAGAGGAAAATAGAGGAGAAGGGATTGTGGTGTGGCCATCCCCCCCGGGGGGTGATTTCTCACTTTCTGTCTCTCTCTCTCTCTGTCTTTTGGCGAGCACACAGGCCCTATAGCAAAAACTTCTCCACAAAACAAAAAACGGGAAATTCTAACCCTCTTTACTTTTTTTTTTTCTTTTGAATTTAGGAAGAAAAGGCTTCTCTTTTGCATCGTACTCAGGAAGAAAGAAGAAAGAGAGAGGTAAAGACAAATTTGTAATGCTCTCTAGATAAGCATCCCTGCAGCATTTGAACAAACCTTGGTTTTAGTGTCTCACTTGTGTGTGTTGTATATGACAGTGTGTGTGTGCATGCGTTTGTGCGTGTGCATGGTGTGCACTTAGCTCTAGAAATATTTCTGGATTTTGTTTTTGTTTTTAGATTTTACAGTAAGTTACTTACTTTGAAACCAGTGTAGAAAAAGTGGTAGAAAAAGTGGCCTTACAAGGTGGTTTCCAGACTGAAAAGGAAAACGAGCTTTTGGTTGACCTGTTGCTTGTGTTGCTGTCTCCTGGGATCTCGGGAGCAGCATCGGGCCCAGGGTAGATAAGCCACTGCTAAGGTGTTTCTGGGGAAGAGGGAGGAGCTGACAGCACGCCCTGTTGCTCTCTCTCTGAGATTTCATCTCCCTGGTAATCACAGTATCTCATAGCCTGCTCTTCATGGTAGACTTCCATGTTTTCTCATTTTAATAATTAATCCATGCCTTTGGCGTGTACTTATTGAAGTGTTGCTGTTTTTTGGAGAGAGATTTCTGCTATAGGGTGCGTGCACTTGCTGGAGAGATACAGAGACAGAGAGACAGAAGGTGAGGAACTACCCCCTGGGCGGATGGACACGCTACAATCCCTTTTCCTCCAGTCTCCTCTAAGGATTTTGGGCATGCACACACCTGAGCGTGGGTTTTAAGCCTCTGGGTCCGGGACTCGAACCACAGTCGATTATGTGGGAGTCCAGCGACGTAACCATTTACGCCATCTGCTGGTCCCTGTTTTGTACCTGAATATACTGATAGTGAATTAAACAGACAGGTTCCTGCTGCTCAGTGGTGGAACACAGATATTAACGAAGATATTGAGATGCTGTTGAGAGCTAGAAAGGCAATAGAGTAAGGTGACGCTAACTGGGAAGGCCTACATTAGATAGATGACAGGTGACAGTAACTGGGAAAGCCTACGTTAGGTAGGTGACAGGTGACAGTAATCGGGAAGGCCTACGTTAGGTAGGTGACAGTAACAGGAAAGGCCTGCATCAGGGTGTTTGGAAGCTAGAGGTAGACTCTAGAGGAGGTTAGAATTGGACTAATTCCTGAAAGATAAAAATATTCTTAGAGGAACAGCAGGTACAAAGACTCTCAGGCAATTTCCCAACCTTGCCACTGTTGACGTTTTAACCAGATAATTCTTTGCAGGGATCTCTCCTGTACATCAGAGGACCCATGGTCACCACCCACGAGGTGCTGATAGCACCCTGGGGATGACTACTGAAAATGTTCCCTGTGGATTTGTTTTTATTCTTTGTTTTGATTTTTAGTGTTTGTTTTTGCATGCCTAATTATTATTCAGTTGGGTATTGGACATTGTATATGACAAATAGAGGATAATTTCAGTCTGAAGAATTTGACATCTTTTGGAGAACATTGCATTTTCTTTGGGCTGGAAATGAGGAGAGGGGACAGATCCCATTTAACTAATACCGAGTTGATTTCAAGTTGACTCAGTCGTTTTGTCTGTTTCCAGTACAGCTAAGGTATAATCCTTTGGTTGTCTGCCAAAATACTCAGGTGTTAAAAGACTACAGTGAATAACTAATGAATAAAATCAAATGTTTAACAACTCAAGGGATGATTTACGAGGTTTTTCTTTTCTAATTTCTACTGTAGGAAGTGTGTGCTTGCTGGAGAGAGAGAGAGAGAGATCATCCCCCAGGGGGGGTGACTGGCCACAGTCTCTTCTCCTCTTGGGATTTTGGGCATAAATGCATGATTTTCAATTTGCCAGGTCTGAGACTTAAACCATGCAGTTGGCCATGTGGAATTCAGCCACCTTAACCCCCATGCCACCTGCTGGCCCAATGTATGAGTTTTTTAAAATTATATATATTGCTATAGGGTATGTGCACTCGCTAGAGAGAGAAGGAAAGTGAGAAATCACCTCAGGGATGTGGCCATGCTGAAGTCCCTTCTCCATTTTCTTAGGATTTTGGTCACGCACGTACGTGTGTCCGGCTTGATTTTCGAGCAGCCGGGTCCAGGACACAAACCACGGTCAGCCATGTAGGAGTCCAGCACCTTAACCACCATGCCACTTGCTGGTCCTCCAATATATGAGCTTTTAATTACATGACCTGAGAATCATCATAGTGAGTAGATTCAAAACCAGATTGAATCTCACAGGTCCCCTTGCAACTCTTTCAAGCTCAGAAAGTACACGTGCGTGACTGGTCGTAGTCTCTAGTCCCAGAAGTGTGTGTGTGAGTGCATGTGTGTCAGGTTTGCATAGGGAATTCATAGACGACACGAGAAAATGGAGCGTGAAAAGGTGGAGTATAGGTTTGAGTGTCTCCCCGAGTTGGAATTCTCACTCTGACATCTTTGGGTGTTCCCTAGTCTTGAGGGCAATCTCAGGTTCTGCATCTGTAAAACAGGAGTAACGCTCACTATAAGATCGTCGAGCAAATGCGTGTGGAGCACACTGGGCTGACGCGTAGTAGGCTCGCAAACCGAGGTGGCCGCAGTGGGCCAGAGTATGCATTTTACTAGGTCACTGAGAATTTCAACCACAGCCTCCAGTCAATGAAAATTGGAGGTTTTCTCTTGAAACAAGGAGCTGACTTTTAAAATAGATGCTGTGGTATCTGTATTTTAATATTTAAAACTAAAACGTGAAAAAATGTTATACTCTGCTGGTGGGATTACACAATGTATAGTGTTTTCAAAACAGTGTGGCAGTCCCTCAGAGTGCTGACTCCATTTCTGGGCATACTCCCCAAGGAAGCAAGAGCCTCTGTCTACAGGGAACTTGTATGTCCATGGCAGCATCGTTCACAGCAGCCCACATGGCCAGAATGCCCCACGTGTCCACCGGCTAATAAAGGGATAAGCCGTGTGATACCTACCGTGGGACGCTCTGGGCTGTGAAAGCTTGGTGAGCCTGGACCACGTCCTGCTGAGTGCCAAATGCCGGGCTCAGAGGCTCCCCCGTGAGCCATTAAATGCGACTCCAGAGGGAGGGCTTGTAGAGACCAGGGGTCAGGAGTTGCCGGGGGTGGGGTGGTTGCAGGGTTTGAGAGGTGGCTGTTTAACGAGTAACGTGTTTCTTCCTGAGGTTGAAGGTGTACTAGGGTTAGGCAGTGGTGACTGCTGTGTGCCTCTGAGTATATTAGGAGTACACTCAGTGAACGGTTCACTTTAGCAGTGAGTTTTACAGCTTTTTTTTTTTTTTTAAGAGGCTTTACTTCTGGGTTGTTGGAAAAATTATGACTCATTTTTGCATAGAAAAAAGTGGGCCATGACTTTGCCGACAGTTCAGTAGCCAAATGTAACTTGTGCTCCCTCCTCCTCCCATTATTCAGGAAAAAGGGCGAAGACTGAGAAATGCAGTAATTATCCAGTCATTCATTCGAGGCTATCGAGACAGGAAACAGCAAGTAAGTTTGTTTTTAAAACGGAAAGAATTAGAAGGCTATGCAGAAGCTTATTTTAAAAATAGCTTCATTATTCTAAGTAGCGTCCATTTTGTATGTTTTTGTATACCTGTCTAATGAAAGTTAATCCTGGGAATAGTATCTTTCTTTTTCTCTTCTTTTTTCTTTTCTTTTCTTTTTTTAAAAGAATTATTAAATTGTTTATTTCTAATTTGACCAGAGAGAGACAGAGTAAGGGGGGTGGGCAAAGTGAGAAAGCAAGCCTCCAGGTCTAGGACTTGAACCACAGTCGGCTGTATGAGAGTTCAGTGCCCTTAACCACCATGCCACTGCCAGTCCCAGATATAGTATTTTTCACAGTAAACTTTTATTTTGCCAGAGAGTGTATGGTGAGGTGGGGAGTGAGAAGCACCTCCTTGATGGGGAGTGGTCATACTGCAGTCCCTTCTTTTCTCCCTCTGGTGCGGATTTTGGGCGCACGCGTACACTCACACATGCCCCGTGCGTTTCTCAAGTACTAGGTCTGGAACTCGAACCAAGTGGTCAGCTGTGTGGGATCCAGCCCCACAATAAGTAATATTGTTAGTTATAAATGTGTACAGATTTATAGACCGATGAGTTTTCGGATAATACAAATAATAAAATGCGAACAGAGGACGGACCCCGGCTGAAGGCCGGAGTGGAAGAAGTGGTGGGAGAGTCTGCCGGTGCTCCAGGGTGGGTCTTGGGTTATGTCTCTGACATCGCCAGTACTGTCTGTTTCCACCCCCGTTCGAACATTGAGCGTGTACTTAGATCGTGGAGCTGGCATGTCCGAGCCACGTTCATGCAAGGCTCTGCTCTGTCTTCTGGCAGTACTCCATCCAGAGAAGCGCCTTTGACCGCTGTGCTGGCTCCTGGCAGTCCACGGGCACGCCTTCCACCGTCAGCGGGCCCAGCCTGGCCCTCCTGGTGAGGCAGCTTCTGTTCTTTTACAGACAGAATGAAGACTCTGACCGTCTGGTGAGTTTGATACATGTTTGAAAACTATGTTTTCACTTAGATAGTTTCTAGCATTTTTCCCCACTAGAAACAGAGTATCTGGTCAAGAGTTCCGGTTCCAGTCCCGACCCGTGTGGGCTCCCAGATGGCCATGGTAGGGTACCTTTACCTCGGGAAATTGGGAGTGCATTTCCCACAGGGTGTGCTTTCTGTTGTTGCTGTTGTTGAGGAACATTTCAAGTATTACAACACGTAGGCTGTACTGGCCCCCAAGGCCCCCTGCCCTATGTAGCAGTCACCATGTGCTCGTGCATATGGCCCTCCGCTCCTGTGCCTCAAGTCATCACGAAGCACGTCTGAGATGTCACGTTATGTTCGCATGGGGACGCTGCGTGTCAGTCTCTGAAGTCGTCCAAGATGCAGCTGTATTCCTCCACAAATTCTGCAGGGAGTGATGGTGGAGAGTTCATACAGGTACACACCTGCCTGGTGCTGACGGCGAGGTCGCTAAGGGACACGGCCACCCAGGGCTGCAGGCCGGCACGGTGCTCTCCCCTCAACACCCATTGCCTCTGTGAGAGGATACATAAGAAAGTTTTAAGACTTTACTTATCTGCGTAGTGTAAATAACAAGAACAAAAACTTAAGGAGAGTGGATGCGTAATGTATTGACACTAGAGCTTTCTGGATGGTATTGAAGCACTTGTCAAAGACTAAAATTTGGTATTAAATTGGTCAGAAAGCGCTTAATCGCTGTGGGATATCACTGTTGCTCTTGAGGTTTTATTTCACAGGCAACTTGAAATGTACCTACGTGAGTAATATATTTACAGCCTTATTCTTAGAGTTGCACAGACCTTTACAATTTATGATGTGTAAGTTCTGTCTATCTTGTTTTTATCTATTACTAGACACGACAGGCTTTAGGACACACACCGCATGTCGGATAGTGTGGGAGGCATCTGTACCACACTGCTCCGAGAGCATACGGGCAGGCATTCCAAGGTCCTCCAGAAGGAAGGCCGGTCAGCTTAGGGGTCAGTGTGGCCGCAGCTCTTCCCCCTAGTTGAGGACCAGCTTTAGCTTGTTATGCACAGCGCCTTTGCGTTCATGTTTTCATGCTTTAATGACATTTTATATCAGAGGAGCAGTGATGTCAGAGGCGAGATTATTTATAGTGGTAACAGGCGAGGAAAGGTCACATGGCGAATTGCACAGGAGCCTCATGTATGAGACTGCCCGAGCCCAGGTGACTGTGGAAGGGTCTTAGCAGAGGAAAGCATCAAGTGCTAGCTGCCTCACAGAAGTGCTGTGGCGGGGTAGAGCGGTGACGTTAGGCTGGGCTCTCACAGTTGTCCCGGGGCCGCTGCCCGTGCTCAGAGTCAGCTCCTTCCAAGCAGGTAACAGGAATCTGACCTGACCTTTACTGAGCACGTCCACTAGGCATTGTGTCCAGGGGAACGGCCAGAGCTAGCCGGCCTGTCCTAGCTGGGACTTTGTGCTGGGGCAGTAAAGCCTGTGATTGCCTTCCCCATCTACAAGGAAAAGATGCTAGGGACCCCCCCCCCACACACACACACACACAGAACAGGTAAGAAGAAACATGTCCCATGTAACTGAGGACTAATACCATATTTCTCATGTACTTTTATTTAATTACTTTAATTTGACCAGAGAGGGAGAGAGACAGAGAGAGAACGTGTGAGCTGCCAGGTCCGGAACTTGAACCACAGTCATCCATGTCAGAGTCCAGCACCCTTAACCACCACACCACCTGTCAGCCCTACAAATTAACTTCTTGTGTTTCAGATTGATATGAGCTTTAAATATGCTGTGTTTTGTTTTAGTAACTAGTTTCGTAATTTAGCTTAATCTTGATGTATTACTTTGAGATGGGAAATGTAAATGTTAATAAGTAAAACCTGTCTTAGAAGATTTATCTCTTATCAGGTTTTGATAAGGTTTGAATGAATGTGTATTACAACTGAAGGGCTGAGGTGCGCATTATGTAAGTTAGCAAATGAGCAGACTTCTGGACTGAGCTGTGCTCTGTGCTGCTGTTCCAGATCTGGCTGTATCAGAACCTGGTGAGACACAGCTCTGTGTTTGTCAAGCAGCTGGACGGGTCAGAGAGGCTCACCTGCTTATTTCAGATAAAGCGCTTGATGAGCCTCTGTTGCAGGTAAGTCCCAGTGTGGCCAGCCACTGCCATAATGTGTTGATCACCGCAGATGTCTGTGGAAATGCCTTTGGATGTTCATTTTCTTTTTTTAAAAATTACTTATTTATTTGTTATTATTTTAGCTAGGTGTAGGGCACATGTGTTTACTAGAGCGAGAGAAAGCCCCCAGGTTCAGGGCTCGAACTGCAGTCAGCCAAGTGGGAGTCCAGCACCTCAACCATCACACAACCTGCTGGCCCCAAGGGTGTTCATTTTCTGAGACTGACCTTGCCACTTTGTGTTTTTGAGACCATGAGGTAATTCTGCATGGTAACGATTTTTACCCTAGGAAATTTTGGCTTGTATGACATAGAAATTTAAACAGTTACTTTCCAGATGATGTTTTTCTTACAAGGGTACTCTGGAGTTTCTAAAATGTAGCTGTCCTGGTGACTAAGGGATGGGGGGTGGCTAACTGAGAAGACGCGTGTGAGGTGGTTCTGTCCTGGAAAGTTTCTGCTGAAACGCAGGTGGGAGACCAGCCCTCTAGAATGTGCTTCTCAGAGAATCTTAGAGCTGTTCCTGCACAGACTTCAGTTAGGTCCCTGCCCTGTCCGTCCGAGTCTGCAAAGGTGCACGTTTACATGACACATATCCCTGCACGAAGCCAGGGCCACGTCACTGTCGGTTTTTAGTGAGTTGCCTGTGTCTGCATAACGGTAGAATGTTCGGACGGCTCTGAGCCTCCTAGTACCAGTGGTCCCAGGTAGACGATGTTTGACTTGATTGTAGCTCTGCATCCTCTTCCATCTCAGGAATGTCTCATTTCTACTGACTTCCTGGAGGCCTCGTGTAATAACGTTTGTTTTTCTTCATTTATTTCTTGGAAATCTTTTACTTTGAAAAGCACATTTTATATGTTTGTTCTCTAGAGTGAGCTGGCAAACTTTTCTGCAAACATCCGGTTAGCAAGAGTTCACAGTTTGCAAGCCACATATGAGCCCCGTTACTTATTTTTCCCCCCTTTTTTTTTTTTTTAAAAAGTTTTTGCTACAGGGCACATGCGCTTGCCAGAAAGAGAGAGACGGAAAGCAAAAAATCGTCCCCCCCCCCCGTGGGGGGGGCATGGCCACGCCACAATCCCTTCTCCTCCATTCTCTTCTCAGGATCTTGGGCATGCACGCATACGTGCCTGGTGTGAGTCTAAGCCACCGGATCCAGCACTCGACCTGCGGTCGACTACATGGGAGTCCAGCGACATAGCCTTTACACTGACTGCTGGCCCCATGTTTTCCCTTTTTAGGACAACCTTATCTTTTATTGTTTTTTAACTTGCTAGTAGGTGCATGAGAAAAAGGGAGAAAGCATCCCTGTCAGGATGGCCGAGTGCAGTCTCTTCTCCATTTCTCCTTTCAGGGTTTTGGGTGCTCAAGCACACACGTGCGCGCACACACACACACACACACACATGCCCTCCATAGTTTTCAAGCAACTGCGTCTGGTAACTCAAATTATGCAATTGGCTATGTGGATTAGCTGCTTAAATCACCACATTGGCTGGCCCACAACCTTTTGAACATCATAAAAACCTCTCTTGATAGCTGCATGAGAAAAGGAGAGAGGGCTGGTTTGGCTTTTGGGTGGTAATTTGTAAAAAATCTCAACGTACCTTTTGGGTGGTAATTTGTAAAAATCTACTCAACATACCTTTTGAAACTTTAACAAGTAACTTGAATAGATGACACAATCAAGTATTATTTCTTCTTTTCCACTTTTTATTTTGAAAAAACATCTAATACCAGAAAAATTGGAAATACCCTCGAATAGACTGAAAAGGTACCGCTTCATCGCATTTGCCCTCTCTCTCTCTGTGCACACATAGCCTTTCTCAGCATTTGGACGCGGATCACACGGACACAGCCTGGCTCAGCACACAGCCGAGAGTGGCACTTTCTCTTACGTAGCCCTACTCCATGACCGCGTCTGTAATGCCACGTGATACACGCTCCACGCTCAGGCTTCCGCGATTGTCTCAGAAGCACCTTTGCAGTCTGTTTTATGATCTCAACTTGCATTTGTTTCACCTTTGCCCTGTCCCCTGCCTTTCTTCTGTGGTGGGAGTGCGCCCAGAGGTTTCTCCGCTGTGCTGTTGACATCGTGGGGTCCCTCTGTCATGGAGGCTGTGTGGACCGTAGGGTGTAATCTGGCAGCACACCTGGTCTGTACCCATGAGTGTCCTGGCCGGCTCACCCCAGCCAGGCCTACCTCCAAACCCTGCTGTTTGTTGCCTGAGAAGCAAAATCGCCCCCAGTTGAGAGCCACTGATAAAGAGGGTTCATTTGTTTTGGTTCAAACCCCTTTAACAAGAATGCCCCAGGAGGCACCAGGACGCTCGTGTGTCACGTGAGAGGCACCATCGCTCACGGGTTGGTTGCGGTAGAAACTGCCGTAATTACTGTGTCTTGTAAGGGCACTCTCCCTGGTCTGCGAGATGACGTGCTGGTGCTTTGTGAGGACAGCTGGCCCCGGTGATGATGGCCCGTGCCCGAGTCAGGTAGGGCCTCTGTGGCTAGCGGGTTTTGCCGTTGCTTCGTCACGGTTTAGGAGCGGGCGTTCTTTTATAAAGAAGACTCCCCTGCACTTCCCTTGGGTCTCAACAGGCCTCACTGTAAAACAGTACTGTGCTGTAATAAACGACTTCCTGGGGATCCCACTCGGGGTGGCCCCTCTGCTGCTTGGCCATCGCCTTCTGTGACTGCACCATGCCTCAGGTTCTGCCTGTGCTGCCTCTGCCTCAGGCCTGGGCTGTTTTCTCTGAGGAGCTTTGAGTCTTTTGGTGTGGAATGGAGGCTGGATCCCACATGGCCAGCCAGGGTCCGTGTCTCAGCACCCTGTGGCTTAAAAATCACAGAAGGCCTGCACACAGCCACAGTCCTGGGCTCGCTCTGGTGACTGCATGTGCCCCAGCAAGTCGTTTTTGAAAAGGTAAATGTTAGACCTTTTATTTCAAGTGTGCAATAATTAACCACAGTTATTGTTTGAATAGCCTGAGAGAGGGGTGCTCATGCCTCCTGATGGGGGGGAGGAGAGAACACCCCCTAGTGGGGCATGGTCATGGTACCTCTTTTCTGTTTCTCCATCCATAAGATTTGGGGCACACACACATGTTTGTCCAGCATGTTCTTCAAGCTGCAAGGGCTGGGATTTGAACTGCATTCAGCCATGTGAGATCCAATTCCTTTAACTGCCTGCAGTGGGACTGGCCCAAGCTATAGTCCTACCTGCTATGTTCATAACATTGAGGTTTTTTTTTTTTTTTTTTTTTTATAGAGGTTTTTGCTATACAGCACGTGTGCTCACCAGAGAGACAGAAGATGAGAAATCACCCCCTGGGGGGATGGCCACGCTGTAATCCCTTCTCCATTCTCCTCTCAGGATCTTGGGCGCGCACGCACGTGTGCCTAGCGTGAGTTTAAGCTACCAGGTCCAGGACTTGGACCACGGTTGACTACGTGGGAGTCCAGCGACATAGCCATTATGCCAACTGCTGGTCCCAGAGCATTGAGTTTTAGGTGCTTGTGGATCACAGAGAAAGGGTGTGTATGCCTAATTCTGCTCTGCGAGGTCCTTTGGTCTTCATAGGTATTCGAGGTAAGTTTGAGGGCTAGGAAAAGAGAAAGGGGTGAAGTTTCGTGTTTAGAAGAGGCCCTTGCTGTGTGTGAAGTGAACGCACTAGCAGGTAGCACAGAAGGCGATGCCCACCACTGTGGGATGGGATGGGTGGAGGTGGGCCAGCTTGTGCTGCACTGATGCCCAAGACCGGGTCCCAGCCCTGCCTCCGGCCGGCTAGCTGAGGGCCTGTGCTGAGGCACTGGACCTCATTTCCTTAGTGGTAGAACCAGGCGGTTGAACTTGGTGGGTCCTGCAAGGTTGGCTGTCAGTACCTTCCGGACCGATGAGAGTGGGGGAATTTTCTGCTCAGGCAGGCGGTCTCCTGCTCACCCTCTCCTACCCACCTCATCTCTTCATGCTGTTCCTTCCTTTGACCTGGTCCTGCTCTGGCCTGGGCTCAGAAGAGCTCCTTCCTGGGGTGTGTGCTGCAGGTGGAGACGCCATCCTGGGCTGTCCATGTCACCGGTGAGTGTCCGGCACGCACTCCCGAAGGACAAGCTCTCTGTGGCCCCGTATTCAGTGCTGACGTTTGGTCTGCAGCTGGCTACCAATTGCTTAGATGACGGTCATGTATTCTGAAGATAAACGATAGTTTAAAGCTCATAAACATCCTCATGGCGTGCATCTCTCCTCATGCGAGTACCCACGTGGAGCAGTGCTGAGGGTTGCTAGCTTGTTCCTTTATTCATTGCACAGAATTGATTGGAGTGCATGAAAAAACACTGCTCCCGTGATGCTGGGTCCACATGGGAGGCCACAGGCCCACGACCCTGCCCGGTGAAGGCTGTGGGGAGGAGTTGACAGTGGCCTGAAGTGCCACTGAGTGTGCTCCTCTCTTTCTCTCTGTGTCACTCATGAAAGAAAGAAAGAAAACTTTGGGACCAGCAGATGGTGTGGTGGTTACGGCACTGGACTCCCACATGGCTGACCACGCTTTGAATCTCGGACCTGGCAGCTTACCTTCTCACTTTCCCGCTCTGAGTGAATTATAATAATAATAAAAATTAAATAATTATTTTCAAAGAAAGAAAGCGTAATGAAAGAAAATGTATTAAAATGGACTGTCTGGGCACAGTCCTCGGCACCGACGTGCAGCTGTGCACAGTCAGGGCTCTGGCGTCCAGCCTGGAAGGGAAGTGAGTACAAAGGAGGAGGATTCGAATCTGGGCAGGGTGTGGCTGACCAGGCTGGGCCCAGCCAGCTGCAGGGTAGGAACTGCACTAGGACGGGGCTAGGATGGCTCTGCCTGGGCACCCCGTCAGGGAGCGGCTTTGGCTGGGTTGCACCCTGCCTGGCTGTCCCCTAGATCTTGTCGCCTGGAGTGGCACCTTCCTCCCTGTGCCACTGACCAGCTTCCTTACAGCGGACTGCAGGGCAGTAAGGGCAAAGCGGGGCCCAGTCAAGGGCAGCCACCCAGCTCTAGGGGAAGGCCATGCTGTCTGGATGAGGTGATGGGAGTGGGCATGGGCCAGCCTGGGAAGTTTGTGACACCGTGGACGGCAGCGAAGTCACAGAGGGCCAGAGTTTGTGGGTCGGAGACCATGACCGGCAGCCCAGGTGGGCTCACACTGTATGAGAGCACGGAAGACAGTCCCTGGGTGTCCTCCCCACAGTATGGCTGTGGCAAAGAGGAGGAACCAGGGAGGGGGGGAGGAAGAGAGAGGCAAAGGTCCTCAAAGTACCCACAGCACAGGGACGGAGGGTCGAGGGAGAGAGCGCGTGGTTGGCAGTGGTCAGAGGGCAGAGCCGAGTAGAGTGTGGTGACGGTAAGTACTGCCCTTCCCAAGAGGCCACATCTGACTCGCAGATGACAGCATGTCAGGGTCTTATTTAACTGTTACAAGTGAGGATTCGCCTCACTGACACTCACGTTCTCCAGATGACCAAAGCCTCTTGCGTGCCAGGAGCAGGGACAGTTCGTGTGTTTTGGATGAGGAATGTTAGTGTGGTGCTCAGTTTCCTGCAGGTTGACGTTATCTCTAGAGCTGGAATGACAGCCCGGTGGGAGGCAGCTGAGCAACCCGGTGCTGCTGCACAGGGCACTCAGTTTTCTCTGTGTGGCTGGGTTCTCCATCTCACCCAGCTTCCCCTAAGGTGCCCCAAGGGAACAGGTGGCTGAAGCACAGCTGGGTTCAGAGCTGGGGGTGTGGACCTGTGCACAGCTCTGGGAGTGGGGGTGTGCACTGACAGAGGCGATAGGGAAGGGATTCTCTTTAACTTGGAAAGATTATGTTCAATGTGCTTATCGAAGACGCAGCTGACAACACAGAAGGAAGCATTGATGAACACTGCTTCTGAGTGAGCAGGAAGGGCGTGGGAGGGAGCCTCAGGGTGCAGTGTGTGGCCTTGGGTGGGGAGAGGACAGGCTGTCCATGTTGTCAGGTCAGCTCTCTGAGCTAGCACTGTGGACAGCTACCTGAGTGACCAGTACGCTCGGAAGGTGCTCGCCATTGTTAGCAGTCTGGGATGAATCTAGTCACCTACCTCCCTCCCTCCCTCCCTACCTACCTACCTACCTCTCTCTCTCTCTCTCTCTCTCTCTCTTCCTTCTTCCCTCCCTCCTTCTCCTTCCCACCCGCTCACAATGGAAACAGAAGCTACCACCTCCAGGCTATGTGTAGATGTTTATGAAACAGATGAACTTGGCGTTGCGACCTGGGTCTCATCCTGAAGATACCTTCTATCTATGCACATATTTTTAAGCCAGCAAGATTCAAAACTCTTCAGTTCCATGCATTTGGGAGGAGGGTATTCAGTAGTAAGTGCAGCCTACTGACAGGGAGAAGTGGTTGGCAGCTGGAGGATGGAAGGAGGGAGGACAGGGTGGTGTGGCCCGTCTCCCTCGTGCTGTCCCCATCGCAGCATGGTCTGCCGGACTCTTCACTGCTGCCTACTTTAAATGGGTAGAGACTGGTATCTGTGAATCATGTCTCTGTAAGCTTGGTGGCTCTCTTTTCAAAACTAAGTTTATAGAGACATAATTCACACACACCAATCTATATGCATTTAAACAGGAGGGGAGGAGAGATGGAGGAAGGGGGTCATGGTGTGTCCATCCTCACTGGGGGTGCGCTGCTTCTCTCTCTAGGGCATGCACCTTCTGGCAATCACAGGGAAAAAAATGGAAAGAAATGGAAAGTTTTTTGCTTGTAAGATTTTTTTATTTCTTCCATGAGTCACAGAGGGACAGTCTTGGTGCCGTGACCCACCCACAGCCAGCTCTGGCTCATGAGTATGCTTGCACCTGGTACACTAGGGAGGTCTCTGTGTGCAAGCCGGGGTCTCCCGGGCCAGCCTCACAGAGCACCATGTCTCATCGCTGCCGTCTGCCCTCTTTTTAAATAAGACTTAATCTTGTGATAGCTGAGCTTTTCCTTTCCCAGCGATTCTTCCAGTAACTGAGACTTTAATACAAATGTTGGATGACTTGGGACCAGAAATGCACTCATGTCTGATTTCTTTGGGGAATATTGCAGGCAGGGAAAGTCTCGCAGCCATCTTTGAAGGAGGTTATGCGCACTTCAGTGAGGTCCTTATCAGAGCGGACACAGCTGGCCACAGCCCTGGCCTGTGACTGCTGCTTACCCCGAGTCTGTGACCTCGATCATCCTGGTTTGTCCTCCCCACCCCTTGTCAGTGCATTTCTCGTCTCTGAACCTCGTGTCAGCGTGCTCCTAACGTATGCACAGAATAAGAGCTCTCTCAAAGAGCCTGAGTGAGGGGCGGCCGTGGTGTGGGGGTATCGAGGGGGTGCCGAGGTCCCCTGTGGTTGACTGTGTAGTTCGAGTCCTGGATCCCGTGGCTTGGAAATCACACTGGTGTGTGTGCATGCGGGCTCAAAATTCCAAATGGTGAGTGGAAGGGGCTGGGTGGCCATTCCCCGAGGGTCAATTTCTCACTTTCTTTCTCCCTGTCTCTCTCAGTAGCAAGAGCATCCCTCCTATAGGGGAAAAAAGAATCTGAATGACGGGTTGATGATGTGTTCTCTGATTTTTCTTTTTTAATTTTGCTGGAGGATATGTGCACTTGCCAGAGAGGGAGAAAGGGAGAGGGAGACAGGGAGACAGGGAGAGAGAGAGAGAGGGAGGGAGGGAGAGGGAGAGAGGGGGAGAGAGAGAGAGAGAGGGAGGGAGAGGGAGAGAGAGGGAGGGAGGGAGAGGGAGAGGGGAAGAGGGAGGGAGATCCAGAAAGCACCGAACCCCTCCTGGGGCGAGGCTGTGATGTAGGCCTGGCACTCCGGCTCTCCTCCTCCTGGATTTGGAGTGTGTATCTGTGCACTCGGTGTGTTTCTCAGCTGCTAGATCCAGGAGTCGAACCGAGCAGCTGGCCACGTGAGGTCCAGCCACCCTGGCCACCGTGCTGTTGGCTGCTGCCTGTTTTCATTATTACTATATTTCTACTTTTATTTTTATGACAGTGTCTCACCATGTCACCATCCTTCCTTGACCTGCCTGCATCTTGGGATTCCAGCCACTTGCCACCTTCCCAGCCTCCCTATCTTTGGGTCATGCCCATTCCGAAAAGTCATGACTTATTTTTCCATGCAAAAACATGTCACGACTTTTCCGACGACCCAATAGTAGTTAAACAGAGTGGGTTAGACTTGTTCCTTGTGAATAGTTTGGGGAAATTTTGGTTGCACTTGTCATAGTAAGTGTGTGAATGAATACATTCTTTCATTTTCACAGGCTGCTGCAAAACTGTAATGACGACAGTCTGAATGTTGCACTTCCAATGCGAATGCTTGAGGTGTTTTCATCCGAGAACACGTACTTGCCTGTTTTACAGGATGCTGGCTATGTGGTGTCAGTGATTGAACAAGTTTTGCACTACATGATTCAGAATGGTGAGTGTGGGAGGGTCAGAGCTGTGGGTCAGCATCAGTGTGTCTGAGCGTCACACCTGTGGGCCAGGGCCTCGCACAGGCCCAGGGCCCATGCCTCCGTGCCGTGCACTTGCCACGTGCGGACACCTTTACTCCCTGCACTGACCTTTCCTTGCCCTTGGAGGTGGTGGAGACCGATGTGCACTTTCAGAAACCACGCCAGGTCCTCTGATCTGAGCTCTCTGAGCAGTGGGCAGGCCAGGGTCTCATCACTGCAGAGTCCCAGCCGACTTGCTTAGAGAGCTAGTCTCATTAAAAAGTTATTTTCCTGTTTGTTTTAAAAGCTCTCATGTTGGTTTAGTAGAGGAGGACAGAATGTTCATTTCAGTTTTCCGACTTTGTTAAAGCTTCTATGCATTGATATGGTTCTTAAAGTAACAGATCTAAAGTTCCTCTGAACACATTAATGACATCATTTTGGGGAAATAAAAAACTATAGCATAAATATCATTCTTTTTCTTTTCATTCTTTCTTTTTTTTTTTTTTTTTGAGAGGTTTTTGCTATAGGGTTTGTGTACTCGCCAGAAAGAGAGAGATAGAAAGCGAGAAATCACCCCCCAGGGGGGATGACCATGCCACAATCCCTTCTCCTCCATTCTCCTCTCAGGATCTTGGGCACGCTCGCACACACGCCCAGCGTGACTTCAAGCCACTGGGGCTGGGACTCGAACCGCGGTCGACTACATGGGAATACAGCGACATAACCATTACGCCAACTGCTAGTCCCAGTGTAAATATGACTCTTAAAACTTAGGATCAGTTGAGCAATATAAAATTGAACATTTAAAAACCTTAGTCCCACTGCCTTCTCGGGACTTGTGGACTTGGGACCTGGTAGGCAGCCATGAAGTGCCATGCAGGTGGTGGTAGGAGGGACTGCAGGTGGTTCAGGAGAGCTGTTGGTGCTCACGGCGGTATGAGAACTTCACTTGAAGTTTCGAAGTGATGAATTAATTTGGATTATGTATAGCTAATTAATCCTCTGGATTAAAACACAAAGTTAAAGTCTTATATGTTCCAATCTTATTGTTTGGCTTAGGTTTTTAAAGAAAGTTAGTTAGTAGAGACCATAGGGCAACTACTGAGTTCAGGTAAATGGAGGGCCAGCCCGTGGTGCGGTAGTTCAGGTGGCTGAACTCCCACATGGCCAATGGTGTGGTTGAGGTCCTGGACCCAGCAGCTTGAGAAACACAAACACATCGGGCACGTATGCATGTGTGCGCCCCCGCAGAAAGATCCCAAGAGGAAAACGGAGGAGCGGAGATTGCAGTGTGGTCATCCTCCCTGAGAAGTGCTTTCTCTCTTTCCCCTTCTCTCTCCCTCTCTTCTGTCTGTTGAGCACATGCACCCTATAGCAAGACAGACAAATGAATGGACGAAAGAAAGAGAAAGTAAATTGGAACTTTTGGAATTTGATCTTTTATAAAATACTTCTAATTAAAAGTGGTCCATTGCATTGATTGGTTTATTATAAAAACTGACTGAAGGCTAAGTGTGACAATTTTTACTCTTGTTTTCTAAGAGTGAGCAAGAAAACTAAGAAATATGCATTATTTGAAATGTATCTAAAAGTAGGAAAACACTGAAAATCTTTTTTTGAATTATTTTTTATTTAACTTTATTTATTTACTTACTTCAATTTGACCAGAGAGGGACAGAGTAAGAGAGAGGGAAAATGAGAAAGCAAGCCACTAGGTCCATGGCTCAAACCACAGTTAGCCATGTGGGAGTCCAGCACCCTTAACTACCACGCCACCTGACGGCCCCAGTTATTGAAGATCTTACTCTGAAATTGCTGCTCCTAACATCTTCTGTGGTCTGGCCATTACTCGGGTGTTTTGATTACTTCCTGACATATGATGGGGGGATGGTCTTTAGGAAATTCATGGAAAATGTAAATTATGAAAAAAAACTATGCATGGATTTTCTTTTTTTTTGGAGAGGGTTTTGCTATAGGGCACGTGCACTCGCCAGACAGATAGAGAAGAGACAGAGAGACAGAAAGCGAGAAATCACCCCCAGGGGGAATGGCCATGCCGCAATCCCTTCTCCTCCATTCTCCTCTCAGGATCTTGGGCACACACGCACACGTGACCGGTGTGAGTTTAAGCTGCCGGGTCCGGGACTCAAACCACAGTCGACTACATGGGAGTCCAGCGACATAACCATTACGTTAACTGCTGGTCCCGATTTCCAAATTTTTTAAACCAACATTAAAGTTATACTTTAATTCCATTTTTCCATGCACTTTTTGGAGTACCTTTGTATTAATTCATAAAGTTTTGGCATTTTATCAATTGTAGTCTATATTGTTACTCTACTGTCAACCTAATGAAAAAGGCTAAGGCATAATAAATGAAGTGATTTATTTGAGCCAGAGCCTGGGATGGCTTGCCTAGGTAACATAGACTCCTGGCTGCTCAGAAATTCGGTCCCTGAAGTGGTGGACAAGAGCCAGCCCTAGAACAAAGAGGGGAGGCCACGAGCTGTTGCCGAGAGCTTCCGCGCACTTAGTACCACGGGCAGCAGGGTGGCTGTCCCTGACTCCACGTTAGGAGGACACTGGGACGCAGTAAGGGGGTCATATTTGTCAATCTGTAGTCCACATCACAGCTCACGAGTCATTGGAAAAGTCCTGCTGCATTTTTGCACAGAAAACAGAGGAATAGTTCATGACTTTTCCAACAATTTATAGCTTACTGCAAACTAAACATGACTTTAGGCCTGTGGCCATGGTCGGTGTGGCTGTAACCAGTCGTCAGGCTCGTGTTTAGCCCCCGGGCCTCACACAGGCTGCTCTGAATGCTGGCTTTCTTGGGACCTTACGTGCTATGATGCTTTTCAACATTTGCAGAATCACGGAATGTACTTAATGCTCTAGTCATGCAAGCAGTTAATCAACTAGATACCCATCCCGGGGTGGCCCGTGGCATATCGGTTAAGGGATCTGGGTCCTACATGGTTCTAGTTCCTGTCCTAGAATCACCCCTAAACAGGAAAAGGGATGGCAGCCTGACCAGGCCCAGCATGGGGGAGGGTATCTCCCTCTGCCTCCCTCTGACAATAAAATGAACACGTTGTTAAAAATGTCGTCTTTTTTTTTTTAACTTTATTTATTCATTTATTTATTTTTAACTTGACTAGAGAGAGACACAGAGAGAGGGAGGGTAAGTGAGATAACAGGCTACCAGGTCCAGGACTCGGACCATGGTTGGCCATGTGGGAGTGTCCAGCACCTTAACCACCATGCCACCCTCTGGTTCCCCAGAATGTGATTGTTTTTTTTAGAGAGTTTTTTTTTTTTTCTATAGGGCCGTGTGCTTGCCAGAGAGACAGAAAGAGATAGAAAATGAGAAATCATCCCCTGGTTTCTTTTTTTTTTTTTTTTTTTTTCCATGAGAGAGAGAGAGAGGCACCTGCAGTGGGGTCCCATACTGTGGTCCACCCTCCAGCCTTCCCAGCAAGCCCTGATCTTGGGTGCCCCTGTTTACAGGTTAACCAAAGGAGCGAACCGCAGTGTTCACAGTGACTCCTAGCATCATGGGGCCTGCACTGCACCATGGCTGGGTCCAATGTCATGCTTAAAGAGAGGCTTGGGTTTTTCCTTTTTCTTTTTTAAATGAATTTACATCTTTTCAGTTTTGTAGTAAAGGGACTTAAAAAAAAAAAAAAGCAAACACACTTCTCTTTATTTATTTATTCAGTTTATTATTTTAATTTGACCAGAGAGGGACAGAATGAGAGAGAGAGAATGAGAAAGCAAGCCTCCAGGTCTGGGACTCGAACTGTGGCCGGCCATGTGGGAGCCCAGCACCCTTGACCACCACTCCACCTGCCGGCCTTCCTTGGTGAGTTTCACTAGGAATAATAACTAGGTTAGAATTGGGATTTATAAAGCAGGTTTAATGAGAGTACTGCACACCCATTGTGTAGTGACCCTAAGTCAGGCACAAAGCCACGTGGAGCCAGTTTCAGAGTGTGTCCCACGTGTGCAGATTGAGTCTTACTGTGTGCACACGGAGCAGCATTCACAGACTGCACCTGCTGTGAACACGCGAATAGGATCACTGGTGAGAACCAGTTTATGCTCACTGTGGAACAAAGCACCTGTGACAGAAGGTCCGAATGAGCCTCCGGGCCTCAGTGAGGCATAAGCCGGCGACTGCAGCCGCCCACGGCGTCGGCTGCCCGGAGCATGCTGTGCCTCACGGTGGGCCAGCTGTGGTGTGGCCACCCATTCCCCGGTGTTCCCGAGTCCCTCTTGGGCAGAATGGCACAGCCAGTCAGTTGGCGCCTTGCCCTTCCTCTGGTATGCGAACCCGCTTTCGTGGTCACCGTCTTGATGGGCACATGTCTGGGAAACTAGAAATGTGTTCAGCTTGTTGATCCACCCTAATCCTGGATCATAGAAGCCATTTTTCTTTCTTTTTTGGGGCGTCACAAATGGGACTTTTGTCATTATTTAAAGTCTGTTGTTGCTGGGACATAAGAGGTCTTCCATTTCTGATTGCTGTGTTTTTTAGTAAACCCAGCACAGAGACGAAGAAAGTAACTCAGTAGTCCTGATACCAGCACGAGCTTCAGTCGTTGCCGTTCTTGACCATGGGACACATTTTGTCCCGGGTCAGATCCATGCCGTGGAAGTCAGGCAGTCTGCCCTGAATGTCCTCAGTAATGAACTTGACTTTCCTAAGTGCAGTTTCATCATTCTGCAGATCTGCAAGGCTCACTTCACACACAGCCCTTGAGGCCACCAGATGCAATGTTGGTTCCCTGAGTCCTGGTGACTAGTGTTTTCCCAGTACGCCTTATGTTGAACGTAACAGGTGTGCTCACGCCATACCAGTCTTTTTTAGAAAATGCACCAACCACTTTCTTCTTGGCTCCCTTTTTGCCGCCTTCTGTAAGGTGCGTACTCTTGCCAGCTGCCGTGGTGCTACTTGGAGAGCCAAAAGGCAAACCACTTTTTTTGACTTACCGTGCCTGAGGCTTCTGTTAAGCTGCACACCCAGAAATCCCATCGAGGGCTTGGGAAGCCGGGGCCCCATGCCGCGGCGCAGTGGTGGTCTCTGCCCTGCAATGCCAAAAGCCTGCTCGAGCTTTCCGACCGCACAGCTGGCTGCCAAGATGGCGCCGCAGAAAGACAAGAAGCCTGAGAGGTCAGCCTGGAAGTTTAATGTGGACCTTACTCATCCAGTAGAAGGCGGAATTTTTGACTCTGGAAATTTTGGTACCTTCCCTAGTAAATATCTAGGGTTTTCTTCCCTAGTTTTGCATTTTTTCTGTTTTAAAATAGGAACAGTTTCTGCGGGAAAAGGTTAAAGTCAGTGGGAAAACTGGGAACCTTGGAAATGTAGTTCACATTGAATGCCTCAAGAATAAAATCACAGCTGTTTCTGAGAAGCAGTTCTCTAAAGGTATTTGAAATACCTTACCAAGAAATACCTGAGGAAAAACAACTTTCGTGATTGGCTTCCTGTGGTAGCATCTGACAAGGAGACTTTGAACTTCATCACTTCCAGATCAGTCAAGATGAAGAAGGGTCAGAGTCTGAGGATTAGTTGAAGCCTGGCCTTATGGGGCGTTGCTTACTAAGTAAAGCATGCTGGGTACATGAGGGAGAATCATCTGCAAATAGACATTTAGTTTATTAATGAGTAAAAGTCACTGCTTGTAAAAAAAAAAAAAAGAAGAAGAAGAAGAAGAAGAAGAAGAAGCCTGCTGGAGATGAGAGTTTGGGTCTCTGCTGGGGCCTGTGCAGGTGTGTGTCCCAGATCCTGCTGACCCAAGCAGAGTGTGTTGTGAGACCCTGTTGAGGGGCTTATCGTCTCTCCCCCTATTTCTCTCTCTCTCTCTCTCTTTTTTTAATTGAAGGAAAAGAACAAAGAGAAAACTAAAAATGAACGTTCAGGAGAATTTAGTAAAGATCATAAAAGTGGTTTCTGCTTACATTTGCGTGGCCTCAGCTGAGTTACCTGCTGGATGCCCAGATCGTGGCCTCCAGGAGTGCTTCCTGTGCAAGAGGGTTAAGAACCCTGGAGAAGTGGCTGATTGCAGGTGCAGGGCCAGGAGGCAGGAGGCAAGGCAGGGACTGGCTCCCAGAGCTGGGGGCTCCTAGCAGCCACTCCAGGTCTTGAAGGGCCTGCCCTCTCCTCAGGACTCGGGGGGGAATGTGAGGACCACAAGTGCAGATCGGGGTGTTGAAATGCATGGATCCAACATGGTATTGACAGACCCCCAGGGTCACTGCACCACGACGGGGCTCCCAGGGAAGGCCCTCAGTCCATCCCTGAGGCTGCCCTGTGCCCATGCTTTTGGCCGGCTGACTCGGGAACAGACTGGCATGAAAACTGGCGAGGGTTCTTCTGTCTGTCTGTCTCTGTTTTGGTCTTGTGTGTAAAAAATTCAGTTTTTGTTTTTGTTTTTTTTTTAAAAAAACAAAAACAAAAAAAACCCTAAAACCAGTTGAACGATTGGGAGATGCTTAGGAGTCAAGCAGAAGATCACAGTATGGGATTCTGGGACTGGTCACGCACACCGCTAGGTCATCAGGGTAGTCGTGACACGCTTTTCTATAGTTTTCTATGCAAAAATGCGTTGTCGGACTTTCCCGACGACCCAGTAGTTAAATGAAATGTATAAAACGAGAGGGTCAGCAGGTGGCATGGTGGTGAAGGCGGCGACTTCCCACATGGCTGACACCATGGTTTATGTCCCGGATCTGGCGGTGGAGAATCAGCTGGGCATGTGTGTGCATCCCCAAAACCCTGCGGGGAGAATGGAGAAGGGACTGTGGCCTGACCATCCCCCGGGGGTGACTCTCACTTTCCCTCCCTCTGGCTATGTTGAGTGCACACACCCTGTGGGAAATACTATTAAAAAAAGAAGAGAGGTCAGCAGATGGTTTAATGGTTACATGGCTGAATTCCCACCTAGTTATGTATGTAACATGAGATAATTGGAGACCTGAACACTGACTGTAAAAGATTTAAGAGAATTACTGTTCTTGAAGAATTATTTTTAATTTTTTTTATTGTTGTTATTTTTACTTCTAATTTGACCAGAGAGAGAGAGTGAAAGTGATAAAGCAAACTGCCAGGTCCAGGACTTGAACCATGGTCGGCTATGTGGGAGTCCAGCACCTTAACCACCACACCACTTGCTGACCTTCAAGGGGATTACTATAAATGGTTAGCTATCATAATGGTATTTTAAGAATCGAGTTTCTACCTTTTGATCGTGTATTGAAGTGTTAACTCTTAGACTTGCATCCAAAGGAGTGGGTATGAAAGATGAGTTGAAGCTGGTAACTGTCGACGCCGAGTGTTGGGCACAAGGGTGATTCACTGTTCTGTTGCTTACGTATTTGTTCCACGTTTTCCTTAATCGAAGAGTTAGCTTAAATTTGGACCTGTAGAGATTTGTAAAAAGCATTTAAACACTGAGATCTTTTCTCATTATAGGAAAGGTACTGAATTTAAAATGTGTTTTTCCATTCTTTTAGGGTATTATAAGTCTCTCTATTTGTTGATTAACAGCAAGCTTCCATCAAGTATTGAACACTCTGACCTATCTCGAGTTCCTATAGCAAAGACTCTGCTGGAGAATGTCCTGAAACCATTGCACTTTACATACAGCTCCTGTCCAGAGGGCGCCAGGTGAGCGTGCAGCAGGGGCACCGGCTGTGTTTCCTCACGAGGTCTGGCCCTGCACCTTCCTGCGGGGGCTTCCGTACATGGACTTGAGCGCCCAGTCCCGCTTTATTTGGTGACTTAGTGCACAGAAAGGTGGGCTTTCTGTGCCCTGCGCCCTGCCACCGCCCATGACTGCGTAACCTGTGTACCTCCTACCTTAGATATTGCAGTACCCAGGGGCGTTGCAGGGAGCTGCAGATACGCTAGAGTCACCTCGCAGAGGCGGAAGCTTACGTTCATTTTGGACTTACCTGTCAATAGCTGGTGTTAAATGATTAACTTAGTTAATTTAGGATAGTAGAGTATTTAAAAGATAATTTTGAAAGATGATTTTGGGACTGGCAGGTGGAGTGGTCGTTGGGGCACTGGACTCCTTCCCACATGGCCGACCACAGTTCGGGTCCTAGACCTGGTGGCTCGCTTTCTCACTTTCTCCCGCTCTCTCTGTCCCTCTCGGGTCAAATTAAAATAAATAAATAAAGTTAAATAAAATAATTCTTTAAAAAAAAAAAAAAACAAAGAAAGATTATTTTAGGGGCCGGCAGGTGGCGTGGTAGTTAAGGGCGCTGAACTCCCACCTGGCTGATCGCAGTTTGAGTCCTGAACCTGGCGACTTGCTTTCTCACTTTCTCTCTCTCTCTCTCTCTTCCTATCTCTCCTGCTCTCTGGTTAAATTAAAATTAATTAATTAATAAAAGTAAATAAAATGGTTCTTTTAAAAAGAGAAAGGTCATTTTAATCTGTTCTTTTATGACTATATTTTGGTTTTGCAGAAACTTCCATTTCCCTTTTTCAGGCAACAAGTTTTCACAGCCTTCACGGAGGAGCTCCTGGCAGCGCCGTTCACAGATCAGATTTTCCATTTCGTCGTCCCGGCCCTGGCGGACGTACAGACCGTCTTCCCTTACGAGCCCTTCCTGAATGCGCTGTTGCGAGCGGAGAGTGGGTCTTCAGCAAGGAGTGCTGGGGCCCCGCGACTCTTCTATTTTGTTCTAACTGTTGGCGAAAATTATTTGGGTATGAAATAAAGGGTGTGTCTTCCGTGAACTCATACACAGTTGTGTTAGCAGCTTGGCCCAGGGAAGGACATGCACTGGCAACTGTCAGGTTGTAGAGACGTTGGTCTCTAGCGTGCAGGCGTCTTGGGCGAGAATTTGCTGAGGACCAGTCTGGGCCATGTCCCTGGAGAAAACTTTGAGGCACAGTGAAAAAGTCATAAGGCCCTGGGGCTGGTGGTCAGCGTGGTAGTTATGGCACTGACTCCCACGTGGCCACCGTGGGTCGAGTCTTGGCTCTGGCTCCCTCGTGGCCACCATGGGTCGAATCTTGGACCTGGTGGCTTGTTTTCTCAGTTTCCCTCTCCTCTTCTCTCCTTCTGGTGAGTGCACATGCTCTACAGCAAATTTTTAAATAATTTTAATAAATTAAATAATTTTTAATAAGCAATCAGAAGGCCCTGATCCAGCTCACCTGCACAAACTCGTGTGTGGTCAAACAGGACTCGGTGTAACAGGAGACATTCTTCCTCCGGGAGATTCCATGAGTTTTAGGTGCTCTGTGTTTAGAATTTTTAAAGTAGTAACCTCTGGTTTGTAATACCTCTCTCGGGACAAGAAACGTGATACCTGGGAGTCCATCTTAAAGGGAACCTCTACGCGGAATGTGTTGTGACTGACTGTCTCCCCTAGGGGCGCTGTCGGAGGAAGGCTTGCTGGTGTACCTGCGAGTGCTGCAGACGTTCCTCTCTCAGTTACCTGTGTCCCCTGCCAGTACGAGCTGTCAGGATTCGGCCAGTGACTCTGAGGAGGAGGGTGACGAAGCCAACAAGCCCACGAGCCCTGTAAGCTCTGCGTCCTAAGGCTGCAGTGCAGCCCAGCCCCTGTGCTCAGGGCGCTTCCCTGCTGTCTGTCCACCTGTCGCTCTCGTGCCACGCCGGCTCACTGGCATTCCCATCAGGCTCTCGGCAGCCATTGGGAATCCCTTCCGCCACACCTTTCTCTGTACCTGGAGGTGTCTGTGGAGGTGTATAGTAGCGTGAGGGCTTTTATGTAAAATCAGGCCATATTTTATAGTCATTACTGAGGATTTAGTTCCTGGAAGTAAAATTGTTGGGTCAGAGGTACCAACACCGAGTATCTGTCTTTTACTCATTTCTGCTAGTTCTGTCGAGGGTGGTTATGACTTCCTTATAAAAGAGTTGTAAGTCGTCTCTCAGCCGTCACCTTGAGGCCCCCCTCCCGCACTCGAGTGTATTATATCTTGCAAGGAGTAAGCTTTAAAGTGGCGCACACCTTGTGGGATGTATCTGCTGGTCATGTTTTTTCACGTTCATGAAACGGCTCTAGGTTGTTAAGTACTTTTTTGTTAGGGAATTTCATACTTAATACCTAGTCCCGAAGTATCCTTGAAAGTGGCTCAGGTTTTCCAGGTGAAGTGGATTTTCACAGTGTGGTGACATTGAAAGGTGTGTTAGTACTGAATCTTTGGGTTAGCACAGCTTCATGGACAGACAGTAACAACATTAAGGAAAGGAAAACAGATTCTTCATTGCCGGGGTTTACCACATGGAGAGGGGTTGACTGTGAACCAGGGAACAGAATTTTTTTATGGCTACTACAACTGTCACATCTGTCAGAACTTGAAAGTTGTGCCTCAAAAATAGAAATATGCTGCTGCAGGGCCACAAAGTGGAGGTTGGTAGAGAGTTTATTTTTTAGGGGCTGGCGGGTGGCATGGTGGTTAAAGGCGTTGGATTTACACATGGTCGGCTGCGGTTCAAGTCCGGACCTGGTGGCTTGCTTCCTCACTTTCCCTTTCTTTCTCTCCCTGTCTCTCTCTGGTCAAATTTAAAAATAATAATAGCAACAAAAAAAGGAATTAAATAAAATAAGTCTCTTATTTTTTAAAGAAAGTGTATTTTTTAATACTTAATTACCTTCCAGAAGCTAGATGTGAAGCTAGATAATTTGTTCATACATGTTATGTTTCATGTTCACGTGATGACAAGGCTGTGGGCAGTGGGCGGAGCACGGCAAGTGTGGGCCTCTGCCTTGCTTGCTTGATGGGCTTATTGGGAATCACTTCCTGCAGCCTGCTGATATTTCTGTCTATAGAAAACGTTCCTCCGTTTTGTTTTGCTTTTTAATACATAAGCGTTTTAAAGTCTTTTTGTTGTGTAACTTTACACTTAGGATTTTTTTTTTCTTCCTTTCATTTGTTCTCTTTATTTTCCCTTACTTTGGGGATTGCTCTGCCTTCCTGTCCACATTTGGGTCAAGAGCTCATGGCCCCTTGGGAGCAGGTGTCACTGGGTCTGGCTCCATGCCATTCTCTGCGTCTCTCTGTTTATGTTGCCTTTTCTTTCCTAGGATGCTCAGCACGGTGAGCCTGAGTGGCGTGTGTGAGATTTCTCAGGGCCAGAGTTCACCCTGTACAAACGTCAGGTCTCTGTGTGACTGCACACTTACTCACGTGCGTTTTATTCGCAGTGACGCACTGTAGAGATAGTGCTAGCACAGTGCTCCACGGCCCCTGGCAGGATGTGTCTTAGAGATCCAGGTGTCCCAGGTACCGGTTATTACTTAATCTCTGAAGCAGTATTTTATTTGGTATAAGTTACATAAATTGTACTCATCCAAAACAGTACAGTCAGCAGTATTCAATGTTATATATGTTCATCAACACACATCCACATCGGTGAAAAATGCGATCTTTGTTTAAAACCTAAATGAGCACGCGAAGATTTTACTCAGCGATTTATATCTGAGAGAGAAATTAAGTTATATAAAAAATAGATTTATTTTATTTATCCTTTTTTTATTTTTCTTTTTGAAGAATTTTTCATTTTATTCATCATTATCATTTTTCAATTTGACCAGAGAGAGTGAGAGGGAAAGTGAGAAAGTTAATTGCCAAGACCAGGACTCAAACCATGGTTGACCATGTGGGAGTCCAGTGCCTTAACCACCATGGCATCTGCTGCCTCCCATCTCCTTTGATTTGAGAAAAACAAAAACAAAAACAAAAAACTTTCAGGCTGGCTCTAGAGCCTGGTAGCAGCCGGGCTCTGGGGCGTGTTTTTTAGGCCAGCCATACCCTGCATAGCCCACCGTGAGGGTCAAGTCCCGGATCTGGTAGCCTGAGAAATACGGGGTGTGTATATGAGTGTGCGTGTGTGTGTGTGTGACCAAAATCATCTCAGAACAGGGAGCCGGAGAAGGAGGGCTTGCAGCCTGACCATTTTCCCTCGGGTGTGCCTTCTCTTCTCGCTCTCCATCTCTCGGGCAAGTACGTGTGCCCTCTAGCAAAAATAATAAAATCTTTCATGTTTTCTCTTACTTTGCTTAAACTGCTTCAAATACTGTACAGCAGAGATGTCCCCAGGCGGCATACAGCCTCACTACCTGCTGCTGTAGCACACTTTGGTCTCTGGAGCCAGTGGGAAGTCAGTGCTCGCAGTCCTGTGCTGTCGTGCTGGCTGACTGGTGCCAGTGTGGCCGGGGACTCCGGAGAGTTTCAGGACCCCTGAACGGTGTGGGAAAGTTCGCTGAAGCAGGTAGTTTGTAGATACTACTTTGCACTTGGAGAAGAGCAAAGTTTCATGTTGTTAGTAGGATGGAGGCAAGTTCCAACAGTGTGTGGTTAACTAGATTCATCTTCCTGATGTGTTTTAGGAGGATGGCAGACTGTCGACACCTTACATAACAGAGGAGTGTCTGAAAAAGCTGGACACGAAACAACAGACCAACACGCTGCTGAGCCTGGTATGGCGGGATTCGGCTAGCGAAGATGTGTTCACGGTGATGGCCTCTGTCTGCCACACGCTCATGGTGCAGCACCGCATGATGGTGCCCAAAGTCAGGCAAGTGCGGGCAGGGTGCCGGCCATGGCCGCAAGCTTCCCCCCTTCTCCTGCCGGCTGGAGTCTGGGTCTGCTTTATCTGCTGTTCTTTGATGGACTGTGATATAGAATACTACGCTGTCCGTGCGTTTCCAGAAAATGAAGATTCGTTCCTTTTTTAAAGTTGACACAACTTTCCCTGGCCTAAGAGGCTCTGAAGTGCCCTGCATGTGATTGTTCACAAAGCTAGTGAGCGTGAGCGTCTGTCCCTGTACACCTGCTAGGTGAGAGTGCGTCTTAGCCACCCGTGTGGAAGTTGGACTTGGGCCAGCCCCTGGAGCCCACATGGCAGTCGCACAGTCTGAGTCTTATTCCTGGTGGCTTGAAAAGCATGCCAGGCATGCGTGTGCCCAGATTCCTGGAGATGGGACTGTGGCACGTTAGCCATCCCCTGCTGGAAGGTTCTACTCCCCAAACACCTGCACCCACATATATACACACACCCTCCACCACATTAAAGAGAAAATGTTGGGCTTTTACCTGCATTACATGTTTTTTAGTTTTTTTCCAAAGTACTGTCTTTTATAAGATTGCCTTTGATAATGTACTCTTGCAAGTAAATTTTTGTTTTTCAAAAATTTGAAATAAACTTTCGATTGAGACAAACAAAACATACAAGTTAAAAGTGGCTAAGTTTGTGTGCCGGCAGGTGGTGTGGTGGCACTAGACTCCCACGTGGCCAACCATGGTTTGAGTCCTAGACCTGGCAGCTTGCTTTCTCACTCTCTCTCTCACTCTGTCCCAATCTGGTCAAATTTAAATAAAGAAAGAATGAATTATGTTTTTTAAAAAAGAAAGTGGCTACTTTTTGTTTAAGTTGTTGTGATCATGACCTATTTTCTGTCCCTATTTTGATGGAAAGTTTAGTGGTGTCTTGAGAATTTAATTTTAAAAATATTCAACTGGATTCAGTGCAGAAACTATGTAGGGAGTCTACTAGAGCCCAAGGGAGTGCCACCACGCAGACGCAGGGGCAGAGAGCATGCCAGGAGCAGGCCCTGTGGCTCCCACGGCCCTGGAGGGCGCTGGGAGTCCAGGAGGGGGTCATTGGGGATGGGGCAAGAGTGGCTCTGTTGCTCAGGGAAGCACTTTGTTTCTTTTTTCTTTTAGAGAGAGGTTTTTTGCTATACGGTGCGTGCACTCACCAGAGAGACAGCAGCAGAAAGCGAGAAATCACCCCCCAGGGAGGATGGCCATGCCGCAATCCCTTCTCCTCCATTCTCCTCTGGGGATCTTGGGCACGCACGCACATGCGTCCGGCGTGAGTTTAAGCCACCGGGTCTGGGGAACCGTGGTTGGCTCTGTGGAAGTCCAGCTGTGTAGCCATTAGACTGTCTGTTGGACTCCCACGTGGCCCACAGACAGCACTCTTTGAAATGGACTGTGGGTGAGGAAGGGATCAGCATCAGCGTGTGCAATGGCCTCGTAAACCCCGATGCCGCCACCTGACAAGGTGCCACCTGATGAGGTGCCGTCTTGGCTTGCTGGTGTTCACTGCCATGGGCGGGAGGGAGCATCCGTGGGAGCCCGCGGTCCCTGGACCAGGCCGTCACTCTCTCTAGGCTGACTGAGGGGAGTGGGAATGCGATCGGAGGACCCTGGAAGCTAGGCGGACACTGGTGCCCGTCGTGGTGCAGGTCCGCGCTGTGGGCAGTGCTGGCGGGCTTCACGGGCCCCAGTGCCCTGGCCTGGTCACCTGGCAGACGCTCTCCCGGAGGGTGCTGGTGAGGGTGCCGGTACCAGTGCAGCACTTGCTTCCTCTCGGCACCAGCGAGGAGCGTGGGGGCGGAGGCGCGTCAGATGTGCGTGTTGAGTGCTTTCCCCGGCCATGACGGGGCCATGACTGGGCGGTTGGCTTGTGTTCACTGTTGTGGCTTTGTCTGCTTTCCCTTTATCTGCTAGAGAAGCCTTTAAAGGTGATTCGTATATACCAGGCTGATGACTCCTTCTGGATCCCTCTTTGGCTGATGTTAGTCCCTCTAATTTTCACATTGGGATTTGCAGTTTCTAAATTTTGTTTGGTATTGGGACCAGCAGATGATGAAATGGTTATGTCGCTGGACCGCCATGTTGCCAAGTCTGGTTCGAGTCCCAGACCCGGTGGCTCATGCTGGATGCGTATGCGTGAACGCCCAAATCCTCAGGGGAAAATGGAGGAGAAGGAGTCACAGCGTGGCCATCCTCCGGGGGTGATTTCTCGCTTTCTGTCTCCAGTGAGTGCATGTTCCGTATAGTGAAAATCTCTTAGAAAAAATTTTTGTTGATTATCAGGATATATAAGATATATAAGAAGATGGAAGCCCTTTTATTAGGCTAACTGCTGGTTCCCAGATGGAAGCCCTTTTTTACACTGTTAGAGTAAGATTTCCAAAATAGATGTTTACATGAAAGAAGGAAGATAAAGAACAAAGTAGATATAACCTACTTTTTGTGTAGAAAAAGTTAGAAAAAAATAAGAATGTAGCTTGTGTTTGCATAAGGAAATTGGAAAACATGTATAGAAAACCCCTCACAGTTACACTCGTGTGTGTGGGTGTGCTGGGAGGATGGGGGGAGCAAACTTTTAACTGTACTAGTTTTCACTCTGGAGTTTTGGATTAGGTGAAGGGCAGTTTTTTTTAAATTAGTTAACTAATAAATGTGTTGCCAGCTCTTTTCTGAGAGAACATTTTTGTATTTCGCCATTGGACTTCGAAATCCAAGTAGATATTTTGGGGGAGCGTATGTCCTTTATTGTGCTTACCCACTAGAGTGGGTGTCATGTCTGGACAAAACCAAACGTTTGTTGCTGTAATTTCTGCATCACAGTTAAAGTCCAAGCAGATTTTTAAAAAACCATCAACTCGTTCAAAACCCACTACTTTGGAATCAATCGCTTCTTTGAAGCCAGAGTAACACTTAATGTGGTTAAGACTTGAGTGCAGAAATTTGGCTGGTCGTAAAGCTAATTAAACTGCCAACTTGCTCAAATAGAATTACAAAAGGCAGGATTGTGTTTTCCACAGAGATACAGTCTCCTGGAGTCCCCCACACTGGACGGCTGGTAGAGTGCTTAGAGTCCCACGGCGGTGAGGAGTCCGGGCGCCCGTTAGACAGTCTCGTGCTGTCCTTCCTTCCCAGTCAGAGATTGCGGGTGTGTGGGATAACCCACCACCAGCAGGTGTAGCCTTGAGGAGAGTCCCATTCCTCATCTCCACCGACAGCAAGTTGCCAGTGGCGAGGAGTAGTTCACTTTACCTTGAAGTCTCCTGATGCATTTCCTGCCAGCTTGAGTCCTCTGCGGTGAGGCACTCCAGGATTGCAGCGCTGTACACAGCAGCCGCCGCCTCCACGTCCAGGCTGGTGTCAATGAGTTCGGCCCACCGGGCCCTGTAAGCCGGCTCTCTGCGAGCAGGACCGTGCCTTCGTCTGGGCCTTCCCGACGTCCTGCCCAGCCTTACCCCGGCCATTTCCCATTCTGCTGCAGCTCACATGAGCAAGGTGGGACAAGGGCTAGTCGGACGCACAGCAAGAGCCCACTGGCTGCTCCTCCGCCCTACTGTTCACACTGCCAGTACAAGTAGAATTTGGATATAAAGTTATTTTTTCTGGCACCAGCAGATGGCATAATGGTTATGTTGCTGGATTCCAACATAGTCGACTGCGGTTCAAGTCCTGGACCCGGTGGCTTGAAACTCACTCCAGGTGTGTGTGCATGCGTGGCTAAAATTCCCAGAGGAGGAGGGATTGCATTGTGGCCACTCCCAAGGGGTGATTTCTCACTGTCTCTTTGTCTCTCTGGTGAGCATATGCGCCCTATAGCAAAAAATCTATCAAAAAAATTTTTTTTCCTTAAATATATGTACATTTGCTCTTTTGAAACGCAGCTGAGTACAAAATGGTTGTGTTAGTGGGAATCGGGGAGGTTGAAGGCACTGCTCCAGTGTCTAGAGACATGTAGTCAGAAAGGACAGTACTGGGAAGGAATTTAAGGTAGCCACGTCGGGAAGCATTTGACTCTAGCCCCAGCAGACTTGCCGTCCCTGCTGGGCACCGTCTGCCCTGCCGACTGGCAGGGGTTGCGCTGTGAGGTGACTGCCACCTCTCACGCCTGCCCTCAGTCGCGTCTCACATTGCTGGGCCAGGAGGGCCTTTGGTTCTCCTTGCCCTGCGTGACTGGGACCTGCCTCCTGACCCTCTTCTGCCTGCTTTCTTTCTTCACAAACGCTGCTTTCTCGAGAATCTTTGACTTGGGTTTCCCCTCTGTTCATGGATTCTTTATGTCTCAGTGTTTCCTAAACGTCGTCTTTTCCTCTCTGGCCTTTAGTCCTCCTTTTCTTTCAGTTGATCTGTTTCATGTGAGTGGTGCCAGCCATCCTCTGATGACGCCCAGGTTTGCCTCTCTAGTCTACATGACTTTGTGGAGCTCCAGACTCCCATTCCGTCCTCCCAGGCAGGTGTCTTCTGGGACCTGCCGTCAGGTGCGTTACACACTGTCCAGATTAAGTCCAGCATCTCCTTCCGCGAGCCTCCTCCCTGTCCTGCTGCGAGCAATCCCGCCGTCACCTTGGCTGTCCCTGCCCAAAACCAGGAGTGGCAGTGTCCTGCTTGGTGGCCACCAGGGACCCGCCACCTTCAGTTCAGTGAGCACGCCACAGACTGAGTGTTAGGTGTCCAGGTGTCCAGGTGCCCCGCAGCCTCGGTGGCCATTGGCTCCCGTGACAGACAGCGCAGGTTAGGTCGTGTCCCTCCTCACGGCAAGTTCAGGTGGGAACCTGTCCCCCGACCTTCCACGCTTACTTTCAGCCCACCTAGACTGTCAGACTGATTCTTACTGCCACGTCTTGACAGAGTGAATTTCGAAATAGTCATCTAGTTCTCATTATTTCATCCTCTAGCCATGATTGTTTCATCATGTAATCCTAATTATTTCATTCTCCTGCTTGAACATCTGCCAGTGGATCTCCTTTGCTTCAGGAAAAA